CCAGAGACTAAGCGACAATCCATGCATTGGAAGAGCCCCAAATCCCCTAGGAAGAAGAAAGCGCGCATGAGCAAGTACAAATTCAAAGCAATGATGGTTGTTTTTTTTCGATATCCGGAGGGTAATCGACATTGATTGGGTGCCTGAAGGTCAGACTGTCAATCAGGTTTATTATAAAAATGTTTTGACGACCCTCCGTGAACTTGTGCGACGAAGGAGACCAGACATGTGGAAGAATGCCTCGTGGGTTCTTCATCACGACAACGCGCCAGCACACAACGCGCTATCTGTGAAGAGATATTTGGCAAAAAACAACGTTCCAGTGATGGAACATCCACCGTATTCTCCGGACCTAGCACCGTGCGACTTTTTTCTCTTCCCGAAAATCAAGTCTGCGCTCAAAGGGGCCAGGTTCGAGTCCGTGGATGCAGTGAAAGCAAAAGCGACGCAACTCTTGAAGAGCATAACACAAGATGACCTGCAGCACTGCTTCCAACAGTTGAAAATTCGCATGGAGCGGTGTAGGGATCGGGGAGGGGACTACATTGAAGGGGATAACATTTCGATTGTCTGATTTTTTTTCAATAAAGGGTTAGAGCATGAATCCGGTTTCTTTATTGCCGCACCTTGTATACTATAGAAACAATGATCAAGTAGGAATGTTTTCAAAGTCTTTTTAAACTGTTTCAATACAGTAGTGCAATGCATGGATAATAAAGGTTAAACAGAAACTGAAATGAAAGCTAACCCTGGTGGCTGGTTCATGAAATGAGTGGTGGAACTAAAATGAGATCGCATTCATCTCTTTTTGGGAGATACACTTGAACATAATTAAGTAATGCATTACCTCACCTTAACTCAGGCAACCCAGTGGTCTCAGAGCTTTCCATGCAAAGGTCTTTTGTTTGAGACCAGTTGGGTGCAATTCAGACTTTTCTGCAGGCCTCCCTATCTTTTGCCTCTTGACAAAGTCTATGTTTTGATGTTTTATGAATGTGGGAAACAGGAAGCCCCAACTGTGGTTCAGAATTCACTGTAGGTATTTGCCATAGTCATTTTTTCTTTGTCCCATCACTGAAAGTAAATGGAATCCCACCCCATAATTGTTCTAGAAGTGGTTTCCTTTACTCCTCTCAAATGGGAAGATGCCAGATAGATCCAAACTCTAAAATTAGAGGAATTAAAAGGTCATTTATGCCAGCTGCTACATACTAAACAAAGAGTATCAGAATTCTGTAGTTCTTTTTTTATGAGACAAAAGAAGGGAATATTTGTCTCTCTGAAATTACGTTTTAGAGTTTTCTGGAAGTCTTTTGATGAAGCACCAAGTCAGCAGTTATAAACTACCTGTAAATAACACTATCCTATTAGAACTGAAAGATTTAAAATACCTCATCTCCCTTATCTTGGCCAGTGCCTAGTTCATCTAATCCTTTGAGGTATCACTATTAAATCAATATTATTTGACCCATACAAATCATAAAGTTCTTCCTTATGTGAAATCCTGATTGCTTGTTTCTTCATTCTTAGGGGCAGATATTTTACTGAGGTTTCTGCTTTCAGACATTTGTAATTTGTTTTTCTGTCAAAATAACCATATTTTAAACCCAAAGAAAACAAATGGCAAAACTGCTGTTTTGTATGTATTGATTTTCAACATTTTGGTCAGTGAATGAAATGGTAATGGTTTCTGAACTGAATAATGACAGGCATTTCCAGAATTGGTTTCCCAAATTTTATTTAATTTTTATTTGTTAGTGCTGATTCCAGTTTGTTGAGTTTCAAAATATTGTCACATGATATGTTTAATATGCTTTTGATAGATGAGAAATACAAGGTGTGTCCCAAAAGTCATGAAATATATTTCTTTCCCACCCTCCTACTGGTCGGAGCACGCTGGAACCGGTTGGGTTAGGGGTGGGGGGAGGCCTTTAGCTTCACAGTGCGCCCAAGGTCAGTCTGCTCGAGCATCGGCGGCATCAGTATCACTGATTTAGTGCACCTGTGTTTTGTGACCATGTTACGGTGCGCGATGGCGGATACTTTCGAACGACATTGGGCAGTCAAGTTCTGCACGAAGCTCAACAAAAAAGCTGCCGAAACTCACGAACTGGTTAAGTAAGCCTACGGGTAGTCTGCTCTATCATATGTGCAAGTTACAAGGTGGGTGAAGAAGTTTAAGGAGGGCCAGGAAGGAGTGGAAGATGACCCCCACTCTGGACGGCCATCAACAAGCCAAACTGATGAAAATGTGACTCGTATGTGTGATTTGTTGAATACTGACTGTCGAATGACTGTCCGGTTGTTAGCCGACACTCTGAACATTCCAAAAACCGTTGTGCATCGCATCGTTATGGACGAATTGAACATGCGAAAGGTGTGCACCAAGCTGGTCCCCAAATTGTTGACGGACGAGCAAAAGGCTAATCGAATGTTGATCACGAGTGAATTGAAGGAACGTGTGGAAATTGAACCTCATTATTTAGACTGTGTTATTACCGGTGATGAAACATGGACACTTGAGTACGACCCAGAAACGAAGCACCAGAATGCTGAATGGCACACCTCGGCTTCCCCAAAACTGAAGAAGGCGAAGATGAGCAAATCCAAAGTGAAAACAATGCTCATCGTCTTTTTCGACGCCAAGGGTGTGGTCCACAAAGAGTTTTTACCCCAAGGACAGACCGTCAACGCTCCCTACTATGTGAATGTTCTAGAAAGATTAAGGAAAAGGGTCATCCGCGTGCGAAAAGACATCGCCGCCACGGCTGCATCATGACAATGCGCCCAGCCACACATCTCTGCTCATCCGTGAGTTCCTGGCGAAGCACCACCTGGCAATGCTGCCGCAGCCACCCTACAGCCCCGACCTAGCTCCAGCCGACTTCTTTTTGTTCTCGAGGATCAAGACTGCACTGAAAGGACGCCATTTTGAAAGCATTCAGGCTATCCAAGCGGCCGTGACAACAGCTTTAAATGGGATTCCCTTCGAGGCCTTTGAGGGGGCACACCGGGCATGGGAGAGTCGGTGGGAAAAATGTATAGATGCTCATGGACAGTATTTTGAAGAATATTAACACTTTGTACCGATATCATCAATAAATTTAAAATATATATATATATATATTTCATGACTTTTGGGACACACCTTGTACATGAAAGTTTTGGTCAAGAAATCTGAAGGAAGAGACCATGTGGTAGGTGGGAGGATAAAATCAAAATGGATGTTAAAGAAGTAAGGTGAAGAGTTGTGTACTGGAGTAATGCAGATTAGGATTGGGAGCAGTGACAAGCTCTTGTGAACACTGTAATGAACCTTTGGGTAACATAAACATAGGGAACTTCCTGACATGTTGTATAACTACCAACTGCAGAAGGAATTAGCTACAGTTAAATCAGTCGAATACCTTTGTGTAGTATAGTGGAATCTTTGAATAATGGTGTTAAGTTTGGATGGCCTGACTTATGTGAAATACAGATATTTTGTTTGTAAGGTGTTGAAATAATGAAATGTCAGATTGAATACAGATTGCAGAATCATATGAATACATAATAATTTTGTCATTTATTGAAACATTTAAAAAATTTGTTATCTCTTTCTGTTGTTACTTTTGTTGTATTACTATTTTTGACATATTCACAATGAAAAGTTGAAAAATGCAGTGACAACTTGAGAACCACAGAATGGATTTTCATGAAATTTGATAAACACTGATGTTGAGGAATTTACTAAAATTTACAGACATTCAGGTTTTTATTTGGATCAAATATGAGTAGCCGACAGTTTCCATGAAGACTAGTGTGCATTTCTGCACACATCCCAAGACTGATTCATGGTGAAAATTTGGAGAAATTCTGTGCCTCATTTCCTTATAGTATCAATTTAATTATTAGCCCTTCTTTCCGAAGCTGCATATCATATGCTATCTGTAAGAAGGCGTCAGAAGTTTACATTCACAAATTAAAACTCTAAAGGCAATAACAGTAAATGTGCAAGAGTTGTTTTTTGTCCTTTCATATCCAAACATGGTATTGCTAATACAATTGTCGTCATGCATTCTGAATATGTTTCCTCTAGCACAACACAATAGAAGCAGTTCTACAGCGAGGAGAGAAATTGGATGACTTAGTAGCAAAATCAGAAGGATTAAGTGTGCAGTCTAAAGCCTTCTATAAAACAGCCCGTAAAACGAATTCATGTTGCACGTCTGGATAAAAGTGACCCTTCTAAGGCATGAAACATGTTTCTGCAGTGAGCCATCAACATACATTGGAAATCAGGAACTTAAGGTACATTTATTACTTGAGCTGTCAGAAGGTAGAACAGTAGAGAATATATATTTGTGTAAAATTATTTTTGTGACTGTCAAAGAAATTAAACATATATTGACATATCTGTGTAAGAAATGGAGGTTTTAAAGAAATTACTGCTTTTATGGAATTGATGATAATATTTCATGAATTATTTTAATATGTCTGTTTTTTCATTTTTTTAATTACCTAAATTATCCATTCAGCAGGTTTCTATATGTGCTGTATGAAATTCCTTCAGTCTGTACCATATACAGAGTGTCCCAGGAGGAATGGACCAAACTTCGGGAGGGTGTTCCTTATGTTAAAGTATGCCGATATAACCCAAAACACCTATGTCCAAAGTTGAACGGTTACGGAGATAATGGCCAGAGAAGTGTGAAACTTTGACCGGCGTTGCACACTTGTTGATTACAAAATACATATTAAAACTTGCAGGAATATGTGGATTCTGTAATGTTAATAATGTACGTAACATAAAACTAACTTGTGAGTGACATGAAGCCATAAAATTGAAGTACAAAATACTCGCTCGCCATGTCATAATTGTCCTTAGTGTTTCCAAGCACTATACATGACACATGACTGGCGAGCGATTACGTAACGTGCTGACTGCGCGTTCTGATAAAGCCAACTACATAAGCACGGCTAGGGTGAATCACGGCACTCAAGGGCAAACACAGATAAGGCCTCTCAGCTGATAGGTAAAGTCCGTAGACCCGCTAGAAGACCACACTTTTCTCGGGCCATTATCTCCGTAACCGTTCAACTTTGGACATAGGTGTTTTGGGTTATATCGGCATACTTTAACATAAGGAACACCCTCCCGAAGTTTGGTCCATTCCTCCTGGGACACCCTGTATATACTGTATATACATAGTATACTCCCTGGTATCTGGCATTTAAGGAGCATGGGGTTTGCCAGTTACATGAATCTGCCAGTTGGACAAGAGGAGTTGGTGCAGAAACCAGGTACAGAGTCAAAACAACATGTTTGCACTTCAGTTCCTGTGTGAGAGTTCTAGATGACTGCAGATTTGTGGTGAACAATTTAAGGTACAATACTGTAAACAACTCAAGTAGCCTCTACTTCATGCCCCCCGTGTGATGGAGCATGTCAGGTAGTGTTGCTGATGGTGGCTTGGAGAAGTACCACATGACAGGGGAACATACGAATATCAGAAATTTGTTTTTCAATAACTTTATAAAGATATAAAATTTTCTTGGAAATGTTTCACCATTTTGATGAGAATTCTGGATGCTTGGATGCCAGGTAACTGGGAGTTTTGTGTGTCTGTATAATATATGTATATAAAGGGAAGGCAGTAAAATAGTTTGAAGTAATTTGTAAAAAATATATCAATTATAAGTTTTGAAAATGTATGCAGTTATATAAGACAAATTTTTAGTACAGTGCATTTTATTGATACCTGAGGAAGTGTGGGCCCAATGATACAAGAGTACTGATAGTGTATTGCAGAACGACTGGGATTTAACATGAAATGGTAAGAAAAGGTAATCAAAATTGTGAATTTCACTGTAGTAATATGTAACATTACAAAGAGTTGATAAGAAAATCGAAATGTTATGTCTTGTAATGACCATCTACACTTACTGTCACAAAGTATTTCTTCAATCAAAATAAACCAAAAGAAATTAAAAGATGGGTGGGGGGGGGTTAAGGAAAGAGAAATAAGAAATAATTATGCTGAATGGGAGTGACATTTAAGAGAAACTAGCTTCATATATGTAGAAAGCAGTCTTCTGGGATTTGGCACCGTGTATATGTGGTGTTAACACCACATATACATGGTGCCAAATCCCAGAAGACTGCTTTCTACATAGTCACCGCCGTGAAAGACTCAAATCTTTCATATATGTAATTGGAGAAAGGACATCCAGATCTCTCATACAGACAGGAAACTTTGTAAGATAAATAAGAGGGTCTGGATAACACTTGTAGGTACAGGTGAAATACAGTTAATGGTATACTGATGCTTTGCAATGTGGTGGGTGAACAGGTCAGGGTTGTAAAGGAAAGAAGTTTGTGTTTTGACAGATGATTGTTAATATCTAGGGATAGGTGATGGTTTGAGCCAGAATAGCTGTGCGAGTGTGGAGACTAGGCTAGGAACCAGGTGAATGAGGAATCAGAGTTTGATTCCTAGCAGGGACAAGAGATTTCTCTCTTCTCTGCCACATCCAAGCTGGCTCTGGAGCCCTCCCAACCTCTTACCTGATAGGTACCAAGGGTTCTTTTCCCATGGGTAAAATGGCTGGGATGTGAAGCTGAGCACTGACATCAGTCTAGTGCCAAACTTAAGAAGCATGATGCTGTGCATACATCCATGCTCCATTTTTTTATATTGTGCTTAATTAAGCACAAAAGTAGTTTTACCATTTGCCTTCTTAAGTGATCATGAATTAAGAGTGGTCACTGGGGATTATCATGAAAGAGTTTTTGTTCAGGATTCCAGTAGTATGTCAATGATAGAGGAGACTTGAGGGAATATTCAGTATTATTGTGGTTTTCAAGGGAATGGGATAAAGAAGGGATTGTGATGATCACAGCTGTCTAGTCAGGAGAATGAAAGGTGCTATTACTTGAGCTGGTGACATCACCATCAGGAAGGTCAAAAGGGTGTGGGAATGAACCACCTGTTTGACAGGATAATGGCAATAAAGGGAATGGATATTGTTATTGGGCTTATAGAAGATGTCACTGTATATTATGTCAAGACACTGCAAAAAAGCAAGGAAACCCTGCTCAGGATGAATGAGTTTTAATAGTAAGGGCTTTTCACCTAATATGAAGTAAATGCATGGAATAGAAGGAAAGGTTATGTGTTAGGAGAGAATGGAAAAGGTGACGAAGTGAGGTATAGGGAGGACGATTGAGGAGTGTTTCTAAGGCAGGATGGTACTATGTACAAGGAATAGTTGCTAATTCTGAATGTATTACAGGGAAAAATAAAGACATCCTAATTAAACTAAAGCTCTAAAATATCACTTCTAATTATTAGATTTTAATTTTATCCCACAGAACAGATTATTAGAACAGTAACATGGCTGACTTCTTTTTGGATGATACCTGGTTCATATGTTTGTCAGTGCACTTGCTATGTTGTTTCATACAGTGCTATGTAGCCTCTGCATCTGATACAGCAACTGTAACCTATAAGTGAACCAGTAATTTTCATGGTGTCTCGACTCTTTTAATATAATAAATAAACTTTTCTTATATAAAATTGTACTATTGTGGTTATGTCTTGCAGTTTGCCAGCAGAGTTATCTTAAGTCCAGTTTGGCACAGCCTGTAAAAAAAAAAAGATTCATTTTATGTAACTTCAGGAGCTAAATTTCAAAACATTTGACTTGAATAAAACAGTAGTGAAAGAGAGACCTGCAGTTGGAAATCCTACACGCCAGTTCCATAGAACTGGATGATTCCACAGTTCACAAGATCCGAAATAATTTTGTACCACAGACCAATTTGCAACCAATTTGCAAATTGTTACAAATTAGTTCTCCCAGATTTTTGTGACATAATTATGTTCATGCACAGGTATCTTCTGAAATGAATTCAGTAAAATGTAATTACTGCTCCAGAATGTGTGGCCTGAGGGGGATTTTGTTGACAGTTTTTATTATTTTTCATTGAACTGTGGAAGATGTGTTGAAGTTACGAAATACCTTTGCAGGGAGAATGTGAGGGTGTGGACTATATTTAACTGACTCAGATTAGGGGCCAGTGGAAAGCTTTTGTGAATATGGTAACGAATTTTCATATACCATAAAAGGTAAAGAATTTTATGACCAGCTGATTAACTGTTGTTTTCTGAAGAACTCTGCTTCATGGAGTTAACAGGAACTACTTGAACCCCTAAAAATGGAAGTGTCATAGACACTTGTTTTTCTAATGACATGAGCTGGGCAGCTGACTGTAGTGACTAGCTGTAAACTTATGGCAGGGACAGGGATTTTTTCCTTTGCCACTGTGTCTAGACTGGCTCCAAGACCCACCCAGCTTTCATCCGTTCGTTTCGTTTCGGTTCTTTTCGTTTCGGTTCGTTCGTTCGTTCGTTTCGGTTCGGTTGTTTTCGGTTCGTTTCGTTCATTCGTTTCGGTTCGGTTCGTTCGGTCGGTCGGTCCATAAATCCTTACATGGTTTAATACCAATGGATATAGAAATAGTCAACATGAGTAAATCACATACTGCAACACAGCTGTGTAATGTCATGTGGGGTTCTTTACATGTGTAGTCTCGTCATCACTCCTATGACAACCCACTTCTTCGGAACAGTTTGTTGGCCCTGAAAAGGACCGTGGCTGCTGAGACGATTGATCGGAGAGGTAGCGCAGCGCGCGCCGTATGGGGAAAGGCTAGTTGCGGTGAATGGGTGATGAAAGGCTAGTGAAAGGCGCGCCATTGAGCCCGGTCGTAGGAGCCATGAGGCAGTGGCTACGCCAGATGCCCAGTGGGTCAGACCGTAACACGACCACCGGCGAGTCCAGGCGCGGTGCCCCAGTGAGTCGGGTGTGAGAGCGCTGGAGGGCCGAGGCAGTCGTGCCTGGCGCAGCCTGCTGATGGTTCCGAAGACCGAGCGCTGGCGACGAAGCCTGCTGGCTGAAGTTGCTTGATGCGGCTAGCTTGTAGACTGATGATGAACTGCGTTCAACTGAATAACTCGGCTTCGGAGTCGCTCCTTTTTATACGCTGGTCGGTGGGGCGGAGCCAAACTCGAAAGTGAGGAGGAAGAATTGATTGGCTAGCGCGCGTAATGGTGTAGACGCGGGCTAGCGCCGAGCGTAGTATAAATGCGATCGTTTGAAGCAATCTGATTGGTTAGCGCGCGTGATNATAAGGTACCTAAGATTGGTCCCTGGGGAACACCATTGATAATCTTACCCCAACTTCAGTGAGTGCACTTCTTATTAGTTACAACTCTTTGATGTCTACCATGAAGGTAGGATTCCAGTAACGCATTAGCTTTTTCTACTATTCCATAAAATTTCAATTTAGATAATAGAACATCATGATTAACACAATCAAAGGCTTTATTTAGGTCACAGACTCATGACTCGTGGTACGTGGGTTCAAATACCCGGCGGAGGTTGTCGAATTTTTAAGGGCGGAAAAATTCAGGGAACAAGTCCTCCGGGAGGGACTTTAAGCTGTGTGTCCCGTGTCATATCTTTACGGCACGTAAAAGAACCTCATGTCCCCAAAGGGGATCACTGAGCCAAATTCCAGGACGTTTCCCGCCCACAATAGTCTCTGAGGCCTCTGATAGATGGGGGAAGCATTATAGACACCGCTAAGCAAGTGGCCGAACTCGCTTGCTCAGCGGGACTGATGGTACACACCATTTATCGGTAGGGTATAGAGACTGGTAGAATATCATAGAGGGAAGCACAATAGATCAAACTGGTCGCGGTGCATGGGGAAACCCACCCTCTCTAAATAACTAACTAACTAGGTCACAAAAAATGCCTCCAACTGGTATTTTATTATTCAAGGCCTTTAATATTTCATTAATTAAATTATATGAAGTGAGTTCTGTGGATGAATCACATCTGAAACCATATTGGTGGTTGGATAATATATTGTTATCCTTTATGTGCTGGAGCAATCTTACAAATATAACCTTTTCAGTAGCTTTTGTAGAGGATGTAAGTAACGATATAGGTCTATAATTCGTCATATTCGTTTTATCACCATTTTTAAGTAATGGTATTATTTCAGAGTATTTCAAACGATTGGGAAAAACACCCGTTGAAAGTACTCTGCTACAGATATAAGTTAAAGGAGAAATGAAAGCAGGTGCACTAGTTTTTAGAATACAGACCGAAATTTCATCATACCTGTTAGAATTTTTGGGTTTTAATGACTTAATTATGTTTTCAATTTCTTCAGCAGATGTAGGTTTAAGTTTAATTTCAGGGAAAGGAGTCGGGAAAAGCCTGAGATATATAACGCCAGTGTTTATCAATATCAAACTCTATAAAATGACCACTCTTAGCATTACTGCTGTTAAGTCTATCTACTATAGTCAGAAAGCAGTTATTTAAAGAATTGGCAGTTAAATGGTGACTATCAGTTAGCTTCCCTTCAGCATTTAAGAACTGCACTTCAGTATTATTGATTCTCTTACCAGTAACCGTTTTAATAATATTCCATGTGGTTTTCATTTTATTGTTAGAATTTGAAATTAATCCATTATAATAAAGATTTTTGGCTGCCCTAATGACATTAGACAGAATTTTAGAGTAAGTTTTAAAATAGGATTTGAGGTTTGGATCATTACTGGTCTTCATGGACAAAATAGAGCTCTCTTTTATGTTGACATGAGGTCTTTATGCCCCTCGTCATCCAAGGGTTATATTTCATATTATTCATAACTAATTTTTTAGGGAAGCTAAAATTAAATATTTTTAAATAAGTATTAAGAAATGAATTGAAAATTGAATCAATATTCTGATCAACAAATACGTTATCCCAAGTTTCATAACTTAATTGAGTGAAGAACTCATTTCTAGAAGCTTTACTGAATTTCCTCACAAAATGCCTACAGCTATTTCGGTTATGTAAAACAGTGTTATTCATATATAAGATCTGGGCATCATGGTCAGACAGTCCATTAACATGAGGACATATAGTATAATTTCCATGTCTGTGAAGATCAATAAAAATATTATCAATAGCAGAGGCTGAGTTGATTTGGATCCTAGTAGGAAAATCTACTATACTAGAAAGGTTAAAAGAAGATAATAGAACATCCAATTGTTTCTTGTTATTACTATCAGTTAGGTAATTTATATTGATATCACCACATATTATCAGTTCCAACTTAGTATCATGCAAGAAATTTAAAATGGCGTCTAATCCCTTCAGAAAATAAGCAAAATTACCGGATGGTGCTCTGTAAATAGATAGAACACAGATATTACCATGCAGAAAAGGAAGTTTCACCGCACAAACTTCTAGGTCTTTATCTTTACAAAAGGTACTTCAATCAACATTTAAAAATTGTAGTTTTCCTGTACAAATATGCATGAACCACCTAATTTAAAATTTTTCCTACAATAAGCAGCACTGAATTTATAATGTTCTATATAAGTACAGCCCAGATCATTATAATTTAAGTGGTGTTCAGTTAGACATAACACATGCGGCAGCTCAGGATGTAGGGAGCTAATTAATTAATTGGTTTTACCTTGTAAGCCCCTTATATTTTGATGATATATATTAAGAGAATTATCACCAGAAGAATGAAATTTATATCTCTTACTGTCATAGCTCAGGGAACTTAATTTCAAATGATTGTCAAAATTAGCACTACAAGTATTGTTAAAATTACCTAAACCATTACTCCTAAGATCACTAACTGACCCAGGAGACTGAGTCACCATAAAAAATCCCTATTTCTTGTTACAGGTGTTCGTCTTATTCTATTAGATGTTCTATTAGCTACAGAATTAACTGAATTTAAAACAGAACCCTGAGAAGAATGGTCCAAATTTAAAATTGCTTGACTTGAGACTTCCACACAGCTTCCCATTTCATCAGAAGAAGAACGATCCAAGTTTAAAATTGCTTGACTAGAGATTTCCACACAATTTTCCATTTCATCAAAAGAAGAATGGTCAAAATTTAAAATCGTTTGACTAGAGACTTAAACAGTCTCTCATAAATATGACACACAAGCTGCTTCACAATTGCATCTCTTCCTAACCCATTTAAATGAAATCCATGTTTAGTAAAGAGATCCTTATTGAGATCAACATCAACAAGGGTACAGTGCTCATATAATTTTATACATTTTGCTAGTTTTCTATTGAACCTGGTTACTTCCTTATCGACACATGAGGATTTAATCAAATCATGCCTATAGGGGACATTTAAGAGAATGATATTAGTATGATTATATGCTTTAACAAAATTTAGAATATGATTCAAACCAATCTCGGAATTATTCTTATACACATCATTGGAGCCACCCAAAAAACCAATATGTCACTCTTTGAAAGGTTCATAACCTCATTATTAATAATTTTGTTAAATTATCAGCATCCAAGCCTGGCTTCACCAGTCCACAAACTACAAACTTGTCACTTATCATGTTCTTGACTCTCACTGCACATCCTCTTGCATGGCTGTCTCCAATTAATAATAACTTACACTTCCTTTTCAAAGTAGATAATTTGTTACCGGCTTTCCTGCGTAAGGCACAGTCACTGATATGCAGTTCATCACTCTCCGAAAATTCACTTCCATCATTAGAGCCAGTGTTAGTCATACCATTAATGATAGTAGGAATTTTATGTATTGTTTCATCTTCGGCGTATGTTGATTTAACGGGTCGAAATGCAGAAAACTGCAGATCAGCTTTTGTTGGATAAACAGTCCTTTGCCAGCTTCTTAACTTCTGTATCTGATTTTTCCGGTTATTCGTTATTTTATCACTTTTTGGTGTATTGTCCGGAAGATTTGATAATGGTGCAGATCTATTAACAGTTGCTACAGGTTCAATAGATTGTAAACTCTGAAACCTTCTTGCTTTATTGTCTGATTTAGTATGCTTAGTATTAACATTACACCATATAGGGGATAATGATGTTTCATCAGAAGTTATACCAGAATTAAATCTAACCTCATTTCCTGTATGAATCATATTTATTTCACTATATAAAAGTTTGATTGCCAATTTCAGTGAATTTAACTCAGACAGCGTCTCTTAAATTTGTTCTTCTAAATATATACACTTCAGACAGTGGCCAGAATATGATTCTTCACAATTATACTGAAAGTTATCAGAGCCACATTCCTTCGAAGTATTAGCAGCCGCCAGGATTGATTGAGTGATTGATTGATTTATTTCGTCACTGTAGATCATTGTACATGATATAGGACAAGTCAAGTTAATTCTGAATATTAACAATTTAATATATGAGTAAGATTAAAATTACAATAGTTACAATTGTTTACAGTTGATTACAATTTAGAATTAGTTAGATATTCTTATTTGTGGAGAATTTGATGGAATGTTACTTCTCTCTCGTATCATATAGGTACTGGGGGTCCTTTCCCTGGGGGAG